ACTGAAATAGGATGGAAATATTTTATATTATAGCTCATACAGTGATACTAACTGAAATAGGATGGAAATATTTTATATTTTAGCTCATACAACACAGTTTACTGAAATAGGATGGAAATATTTTATATTATAGCTCATACAATACAGTTTACTGAAATAGGATGGAAATATTTTATATTTTAGCTCATACAACACAGTTTACTGAAATAGGATGGAAATATTTTATATATTAGCTCATACAAGACAGTTTATTGAAATAGGATGAAAATATTTTATATTTTAGCTCATACAACACAGTTTACTGAAATAGGATGGAAATATTTTATATTATAGCTCATACAACACAGTTTACTGAAATAGGATGGAAATATTTTATATTTTAGCTTATACAAGACAGTTTACTGAAATAGGATAGAAATATTTTATATCATAGCTCATACAAGACAGTTTACTGAAATAGGATGGAAATATTTTATATTTTAGCTCATACAACACAGTTTACTGAAATAGGATGGAAATATTTTATATTTTAGCTCATACAACACAGTTTACTGAAATAGGATGGAAATATTTTATATTTTAGCTCATACAACACAGTTTACTGAAATAGGATGGAAATATTTTATATTTTAGCTCATACAACACAGTTTACTGAAATAGGATGGAAATATTTACGTCATGGTGCTGGTGTAGGAAAATTAGATGATGGTGGAAGTTATGTAGCTTTAATTAGTCCTGATAATAAAGATTTAACAATTATTATTGAAACATTTGTAAGTTTAATTTTTAAGATGTTTATGATGCCAGCTTTTTCTCCTCAATGAGCCAAATTAGGTCAAATTTGATTTGTGATTTTAATGATTTGAGTTTTTGAGACCAGTGTTTTGATTGGTTGTACCTAACTAAGATGCATCAAATTGTGGTTGTTTAGATTTATTAAGACATTCACCATTTTGTTTTTCAGAGTCATGATCATTCATTATGTATTAGACCAGCATTACCTAAATATACAGTCAAAGATCAACAAGTTACTATTAATTTAAAGGGAAATTTTGTAAGTACATTTGATAGTTCTTTCCATCATCTAGAAGATGGTTGCCAAGGTTACATCATATTGGATTTATTTTTCTGAATTAACGGCAATACTTCTCTCCATCTTGCATGAAGAGAGCTCAAAAATGTAAATTTTCATTAATATGATTTTTCATTTTCATAATTTTTCATATAAGGCTTAAAAGTTGTCTATAATATGTTTATGGTACTATTTCAGGCTAACATTAAAGAATTACAAGTATGGTATAGTAAACCTAGTTATGATAATAGTACTTCTACTTTCTTTATACAACAAAAACCTCTGATGGTGAGTCATAGTAAAACAGATTTAGTACTGGCAGTCAACAAAACCGTCTGGATGAATATAGCTCAAATAAATGGTTGGCAAAGCTCATCCACATCTGCAATTGCATTTTTAAAAAGTAACAAAAGTGTATTTGGTCTCAATTAACCAGACCTTCATTTGTCATTTATCTCACAAA